AGAAACTTTTCTGATACAATGAGAAGTAGACGGCAATTTTCACGACCTTGAACTTCTAAAAGTAGCACTACCCATTAGATTATATTTTTGCTTAATGGCTATATAAGCTAGAGCAGAGAGCTCCTAAACTGAACTCCCCTAATTGCTTCATATATATTGCCTTGGTAAAGTTTCCCATCTATCCAATTTTTTTATTTTTTATTTTTATTTTTATTTTTTTGAGTGGGACAGGGGGAGATGGATACTCAACACCAGAAGTTATCTTCTCGCAAGAACATATACAAGACTACCTAAAGGTTAACTAGATAGAGCTCAACTGCTTTCTTGACTTCGATCTTTTTATCTTGTGATTCGTCTTGTTACCATCACTTCTTCTTTTTTTCATCTGTTCTCCAACCGAGGGTCTATCAAAAACTGCCTCTCTGCCCTTCCATGTAGGGGATGGCAAATGAGCGGATTGGGCTAAATTTGAGCGGATCAAGATGGGTTAGGTCCATAAATGAGCCATTGCCCAACCCAGCCCAAAGTGTACTTAGGCTAAGATGGGATGGGTCAAGATGGGCTAAACAATGAGTTATAGCCCAACTTGACCCGTGCTTTAGAACCATGCTTATCTTGCATAAAAAAAAAAAAAATTTACCTTTTATACACCTACATATAAAAGGTAAAAAACTATTCTTAATTTTTTGAGAATCAGTATATGTTTTCTAAATAACAAATTAGTATTTAAAATTTGTAAGTCGAAAAATATCTTTTGTGTTAATTCTAAATAAGTAAATTTCACTATAACCCATTTACAAAATTATTCATATTTACATTAAAACTTAAATATCTTAATTCTCATTTTTAAACTAAAATACAAAAATTAATGATGGGACAACTAAGTAAATTTCCGAACAAGTTGGGTTAAAATCCCTTTATTTAAGTAAGCTTCATGGATTGTATGGGTTACTTCCGGGATAAAAATGGGGTACAAAAAATTATAGGTTAATTTAGGCTCAGCCCAGATAGCCCCATAAGCTAGATGTTTGTAGCCCAACCTATTAATCTGTCGGCAGGTTGCGAGGGTTAGATGGATTTGGGCTCAAATTGCCACCACTACTTCCAGGGTACAAGTAAGGCTAGCTACGTCTTACCCTCCTCAGACCACACTTAGAAAAAATTATTGAACTTGTTGTTGTTAAGAACATATACAAGCATGATGGGACCAAAGGCCAACCTCAAAAGAAAGTTGACAGAAACCATGAAGGAGCAAAAATTAGACAGGAGAACGTGGAGCCTGCCAAAATAATTAGTCAAGTGTACTCCCAAAGCTAAGAAAGAAAGCATGGAGGGGTAGAAGCATGAGACACGATCCAATTGAGAATTAAGGCAAATAAGACCAGACAAATGACATTGTATCGCCGCTAGAAAAATATAACCGAAAAAATGTATAAAATTTATATATTTTTCGTATATATATACATTCCGTATGTTATATACAAAAATTATACAAATTTTATACACTTTCGGCTATCAGATGTAAATAGTTTCTGATGCAAGCTAAAAGTGAAAACACCCCAATAAGATCAGCAATTGGTAGGAATAACAAAAATAACGATGTAAAAAGGACGAAATTTGAGAAAACACAATCACTTATTTCACCCTCAAGCTTAACGCGATGATAAATACAGCAAATGATCATTTCTGATATATTCTGAATATATTAAGTGGCAACTGCAGAAATATTGCCTGCTTGTTAAAATAAAAACAGTCACCACCACTTCAATCCTGCCTCAGATAATTGGATCAGACAGATTAGAGAGGTGATGGATCCAAAGCACACAGACACTAGCCCATTGGTGGGCTGGGCAAATGCAATGCAGTGAACAGAAACCAATCAGCTTCACATCCTTATGACATAAAGGTGGAAGCGAACAACATAGTTCTCGGGAGGACCCTCCAGTAAAGCAGCAGCATTTTGTTCCATATACAAGGAGAGGATTACTAAGCTCCTCAAGGTTTGGAACGAACAAATGTGCTTGCTACCAGGTAGCACAGAGGAAGTCGGGTACTCACAAGAGGGGAAAGAAGTAGAGAGAATTATAAATCGTGACTCATGAGAAAACTGGAACTTAATAGATTGGAAAAGGGGGTATAAACAGGACATTCAACTTTAAGAATAATGAACAACACGGACAATGAGAAGATCTCTAAGATTTTGTTCCCAGCCTTCAAAACAGATACAGGCCCCGATTAAAGAGAAGAGAAACAGTTTAGCTCATCTTAACCACGTACTCAAACATGGTCCATAATCATCAAAGTAAACGTACTGCAGCATGTATACCAGAATTTCAAATAAGCAGACCAGTTGAACACTTGAATCAAAGTACTTAATAAGAATACTAACCAGAACACTCCGTCTACTTCTTGCATTAAAATCAACTAGAACTTTTAACTAGATAATTCTTCACTGTGTAGCCACCATAGGCTGTTGATACTGCCTTCGCTATTTGCACATTTGGAACTTCATCAGGGGCGCATTTTCATATCGATACAAACAAACAACAAAAAGAAAGGAAGGAAACTCAAGTAATATTGATCCTATAAATTCCCATCCTCTCAAAATGATTTCAGTTACCAACAAGCCCATATTCAAATGATTAAACCCATAAGTTAAAATTAGGACAAGTCTAAATCATTGAATACACAGGTTTTGGCTTTTCAGAAAACACTCCCCATTATCACCCCACCCCCCACCCCTAAGAGAAAGGGGAAAAAGAACAAAAATATTGGGCTGCTTTCTAGTCATGTCAAGAAAGTAGTAAAAGCACATCCAAATAGATGGTCCAAGCATACTCATGATAATTCCAAACGGATGGAAAACCCAGACTCATGATAGTTCCAAATGGATACATACAGCTGACTCATCTGTCACATTTTCCTTGATCACTATATAATCAGCTATCAAGTATATGCTAATAAAAGTAAGCAATGACCACCATCTTAATAATTACTTCCCAAAGGTTTTCCATGTAAGCATGCTAAACAATTCACATCAATGACACTCACCACATGTAAATGTACCAAGCCACCAGAAAGGAATACCAAATTCTCAAAATACAGGAACAAACATATTCCTAAACCAATAATTCAAAAAGACACCAATACTAAAGGGGGAAAGAAGGTCGTAAGCTGAACCAACATATTGGAGGTTCATATGGATGCAATTCATTCTTACCGCTGGTATCAGACATTATAATTTTCAAACCAAGTTCCTTCAACAAACAGTTTAGTTTACAGTTACATAGTTGTTCCACATCTGGTATAAAAGAGCATAAAAGTGATTTGAAATGTCTTCTAACCTGTTTGGCCAAAGCTTCTTTTTTGCGAAAAGTGCTTTTTTTTTTTTAGGAAAGTGTTTAGCCAAGCTTTTAGAAGGAGGAAAAAAGTGCTTTTGAATAGAAGCAGTTTTTGAGAAGCAGAAAAAAGTAAATTCTCCCCAAAAGGCACTTTTGACTAAAAAAAAACTTAAAAACACTTTTAGAAGCTTGGCCAACCACTAAATACTGCTCAAAAGTGTTTTCCAATTAATTTGTCAAACACAAACTGCTTCTCACGAAAGAACTTTTTTAGAAAGCACTTTTCAGAAAAGCATTTTTTGAAATAAGCGGATTATAGAAGTTTGGCCAAATAGGCTATTAGACTGCTTCACAAATTGTTTTAAAATTGTGCTGGATTCTCATATTCTTTCACATGTTAGAGTAGACCTATAGCAAGCACTCACACTTGTAAGTCCACATTAAGATACACGTGTGAACCCCAAATTAGATTACACATGTAGGAGGGATTTGAGATATATAGTTGTCCCACATTTTTGTATAAGAGGACATCCAGAAGAGTTTATAGAAAAACATTGTGACTCTCCACTTATTTTTTTATTGATATTGAGACACTCCATATATTGCCTTAAAGTTTTCGGTTATTATGCAACCTCCCTTACTACCTTTGTCTACTACAAATTTAGACAACCAACAAGAAACTCATATATGAGATTTTGCTTAGCTACTCTCATAGTGGTTAAAGGAGGAAAATTGTGATAGATTGTCAACGAGATTAAGAATAAACACAACTTTATTATGATAATCCCTAACAAGCCAAATGAAAAAAGATGATTCTTATACCTTGTTAGAGTCGTCACTGGTTGAGGTAAGAGGCCATCGCATTTATGGTTATGCGTAATTCTCACCTCATGAGCTAGCTTTGGGGCTAAGTTAGGCCGGACATCCATCTTAATATGATAGCCGAGCATCTCATTCTTGATTTATCCAATATTGGGGTCTATGTTATCCAATATGGTGAGCCGAGGGTCTATTAGAAACAGCCTCTCTATCCTCCAAGGTAGGGATAAGGTCTGCGTACACGCTACCCTCCCCAGATCCCACGATATGGGATAATACTGGGTATGTTGTTGTTGTTGATGTTATCCAATATGGCATGCAAGAGGGATTTAAGTGTCCAACAAGAGTTAACTTTTAGAATTGAGTTAGGCCAAGATTCATGCGTCCCACTTGAGTCAACTTTCGGTAATGCGTTAAGCCAAAGTCCGGCTTTCTAACAGAGTATCAACCCCCCGTTGTCCGTGCTCGTGACGTCAAAGGGGGTGTTGGAGCATCTCATGTAGGTTGATGGAATGGATTGTTTTCTCCTTATATGATCTTTAGGCAATCCTCATCTCACCAATTTTATTCTAAGTGCCCAAGGTTTATCTTCTGCACACCCCAGCTAGTTTAGTTGATTAATTAATTATGAGACAAATGCTAAAAAGGAAGATATTAAAATCTTCCAAATCGTAGAAAAACTGAACCAACACATTAGAATATCTCATCCATGCAAGTTATATAACTACTTGTGCATAGCAGTGGAGTTCGAAACCAATTATTATTAGTTAAACTTCCATGCAAGCACGCGAACTCATTGTCCAGGGTTTTTAAACTCATTCACATAAAGAGACAAATCACTTTAATGAACTGCAATTTCATGAACTACACAAAATCTGATAGGGAAAGAAACATAGTTTCCCCAGCCGTTCACATATGATAATGAGCATTCACACTCCAAAAACACAGGAGCTAAATCTTCAATGATGCAAAGGAAATTGCTCTTACAGCACATCTATTCTAGTATCAGTAAACATACATGCCAAAGCTCATAACGTCATACCACACACCGATGGGAAGCAACTAGTATACACACATGCCAAAGCTCATAACGTCATACCACGCACCGATGGGAAGCAACTCTAATCTCCAAGAACCAATAAGCGATGCACACATCACACATAAGCAAAATCTAAATATGTCCATCTCCACAGATCTTTGAGGGAAAAGAGGAGGGGTGAGAGCTGGGGCGGCGCTTGAGAAGGTAAGTGAAGGAAAGAGGAAAGATAGCAGAAGCAAGATCCAAATCTTTGAACCTTTCAGACAGACAATTACAAAGATGCAGTTTTGTCCACTGAAATACATATTATACAGATGCATTAAAGAACAATAACAGACAGATTCAAGAGTTCAGACATTGGGAGCATAACCAGAGACAAACTACCGCAACAATGAACAACAAACAGACACAAAACTAAATCTAAAGCACCTCAGACAAGCTCCCCAAAGTACCAATACACCTACACAACTTAGAAGAAGACAAGCTCCCCAAAGTACCAATACACCTACACAACTTAGAAGAAGACAGGTCAGAGCTCTCTCAAGACCAAGAGCTAAGCTAAATATCAATAAGAAGGATAACTGGTCGGGTTACGGGTATCATATCGGCCCAACCTAGAGCGTGTTATACTATCCAAAGCATCCCCAAATACTCTTCGACCGTAATCATAATTGTTGCCATCATAATGTGATCTATATCCATCGTAAGGTGATCTATACCCATTAGATTGGTTTACTGAAACACCAGGAGGAACTGGAACTGAATAGAGAAAAAACAATTATAAACATGTAAGTCAAGACTCAACGAAAATAAAGTAAAAAACAAAAAGGGACTAAGAGCATAAAATAATGACTTCACTAAAAAAGCATGCATCACCTTGTGTGGAGTTAGTTTGGTGCTCTGAAAACCGGCATGAAGTTGACAATCTCACAGAATTTGGTGAAATTTCCTTATCATTATAAGGTACATGAAGAGGCCTTGGTCTGGAGGGGATATTTAAGGTAGGTGGTGGTGTCGCAATTGATGAGTTATTAGAGGGCTTGTCTTGCCCAGATATCTGTTTAGAAAAATTAAACGTCAATACACAACATAAGCAAATGAAAATGCTTCTGTAGACTTTGCCTCCTCCAAACCTCAAATTCCAACTGCCAGCCCGCAGTGTTAACTGAAAGAACATATGTCTGGCGTATCTCTCAATTCATAAGCCAACATCAATAGACACTCCGAGGATCACTACCGAAGAATATCTCACTGCCAAGATTATCTATTATCTATGCATAGGCTGGTTCTGCTGGAGAGGAGGTAAACCCATACCTTAGGTTTGCAAGCGCTACAGAAGCTTATAGTACCAGAACAAATTCACCAAACAATATCAATAAAACTGACCATTTTAGCCAGCTCAAGGGACGGATAACAAGGACTTACCGCAAATTTTAATGTTCTATTGTAAAGCGTCACTAAACCAGAGAAAAGCTTCACAGCATAGTCTGCAATCTCCTCTGTCTCATATTTAGCGAAGGCAAAACCTTTAGGCTTATCAGTTTCCTTGTCACGAGGAATGTACAGGTCAACAACACGCCCTGCTTGAATTAGAATGTCATATAGTACACGATCGCTTACTCTCTCGTCCAAATTTCCTACAACAAAAAAGTTTCAAACCTATGTTAGCAAATCATTCACAACAAAGCACAAACTACATCTCCTATCAATCAGAAATGCATATGTTAAACGCACTCTCCCAAAGATAACTCAAACATGCACTAAGAAAAGCAAAGAGCCTGGACTTTCCATGTGAGAAACCTCAAGAAAATTAGCTATTCTAATAAACACAGATTAACCAAACTTGTATGCAACTAAGTAAGCAATTCAACCAAACTAATATATTGGTGATAACTAAGTAGCCTAGCAAGTCCCAGTCACAAACCTCTGGTGGAGGGTAATTGTAACTGAACTCTTACTGCTTCACGAACAAAAAAAGAAGCTTTTTGTAAAATATGTTTTTCCGCTTTTTAGGCATTGCAAAGCTAAACGCGCCCAAAACAATTCATTGAAGAGCTAAAACTAAGAATTTATATGTTAATCCACATTATTTGCACGCATAAACATAGCCAATCTGCAATTATAGGATTCATAGAGGACAATTAGAAGTAAATCCCCAAACTGAGCTAAACATTCAGGGTTTAAAACCCCAAAAAGATAAAGCTTAAATTTGTTCCTCCCCCAACCTCCCCACCCCAAAATCCAGAACGTAAACGGTAACCAGGCATATCGGAAAACATAACCACAAAAAAAAAGGAGACACTTTACAGCTAAAATATCCAAAAAGAAAAAAATGCTGCTTTGTTTATTAAAAAGGACAATAAATTCAGAAATCAAACAAAAGAAAGATGCAACATTAGATCTGAGCATGAAGAATAAAAATCATGAAAAATAGGGCATAGATAAGGAGAAAAAAAAGGCATACCAACATAAACAGTGCAATTAGGGTTCTCAGCCATGGGTGGGATTCAGCTGTATCGACGTAGAGGAGAGAAATTGGATACCCAATAGATTCACAAAGTACTAGAATCGTGTGGTCACAAAGTTTCTGAGGATGTTAATTAGAATAAAACAGAGATGTATGTATAGTAGATTTTAATGTCCGACTTCTAAATGGCTTAGAGCATGTTTGGAGAAAGGGAATTGGATTTGGGTGTAATTAACTATAACTAGTATTAGTAATTGCGCGTGCGACACAAATCATGTCGGATTGTGATTTACATTATTTGAATTATGTATAAATAACTTTAATTATAAATTTTTCAGATAAAATTTATAGATAATCATTAGATATTAATTAAGAAGCAAGACATGAAACCATTTCGCAAATCTCATAGTGGATAACGTGTTTTCTTTTTCTATATTTATATAATCCAATAGGTTAATTTTAGTACTTGAATTTTGTTTCGTTATCAATATTAAAAATTACTAACTATGCCATGTGGTGATTTGTCTCGTTTGAACATATCAAATTATATTATTTTAATAAAATTCACAGTTTATTTTTTATCTCAAGCTTAAATAAGTCTTATTCTTTTAAATTTTACACAATTTTTTTTGTTCTTTACTTATAATTATTATATTATTTATTATTTAATATTATTATACTTTCATATGATTTTTTCGGCTTACTAATTGACTTAATATTTTGCTTATTATCCTTTTAATAATTATCGATAAATATTATTTTTTTATTCTTAAAATTTAATATATTTTACGCTTTTATCCTCTTACTTGAAACTATTTTACTATTTAAATCTATTAATAATATTTTTGAATATTATTTAATTATTTACTTTATTTTATTTTTATTTAAGTTAAAGTATAAATATTCTCACATTATATTTATTTTTTTCTTTATACAGTCTCTTCCCTACTAAGAAATTTTTAATTAATATTTTACTTGTAATCAAAATAATATCATATTTGACTTTAAATTGTAACTTTGATTAGTATAAAGTATTAATATATAAGTTCTTTGATTATTATATTCCAAATCTATTAAGTCTTCTTATATTTATTTTTTGTATTACATGCAATAAAAAAAATTCTCTTTTAGTTTCAAGATATAAAATTTGACTTTTAATTTTAGTTAATAAAATTACTTGTATTAGATATTTATTTTAAATTTTAATTTTATATCTAGTAAGACTTTAATTTTTGGTGCCACTTTATTTAGTATTATTATCCATTACTATCCTTTAATATAATATAGATAAATCTAGAAATTTTGTAATCTTAAAATAAATATCATGTTTTATTTTTAAAATATTGCTTGAATTCTTGAGTTATTTAAATTTATCGATAGTATTTTTAAATATTTTATTTCACCTTATTTTATTTTATAAACTAATTCTTAGCATAAATATTCTCACGCTATTTCTAATTTATTCTTAATATTATTAAGTTATTATTTTATCTTTTAGACATAAGTTGTGTGGTATTATCCACAATATCATCTTTCTTATCATAATAGATAAATAACAACTTTCTCATCTCAAATTTAAATAATTTTTATCATTTTTCTTTATGATGATGTCACGACCCGTATTTCCCACCCTCGGGAGTCGTGATGGCGCCTACTAGTGAAAGCTAGGCAAGCCGACCGTTTGAACAAATTACCTTTTTCCCATTTTAATTCTTTAACAATTGTGAATCAACAGTTTATAAACAGCATAAATTTAAAACAAGTGGAAGAAACAATTAAACCATCTAAATAACTCCAACATGATTTCTTAAACAAAAACTACCCAAGATTGGTGTCACAACTCCACAGACGGTCTAAGAATTCTACAAACAAGGTCCGAAAAATAAATGCAACACTGTTTCTGAATTACAAAAGTGAAACAGGAAGAAAAGATAGAGGGAGACGCCAGGGCCTGCGGACACCTGCACGACTACCTTGGATCTCCGTATGGATTGAAGGCAGCCGCCCAAGCTAAGGTCCAAAAGCTGCTGATCTGGGATCTGCACACAATGCAGAGTGTAGTATCAGCACAACTGACCCCATGTGCTGGTAAGTGCCTAGCCTAACCTCGGTGAAGTAGTGACGAGGCTAGGACCAGACTACCAAATAAACCTGTGCAATTATATCATATACCGTGGAAAATAAAGCAGAAATGTAGAGTTAAGAATGGGAGGGGGAAACATGATGCGGGGGAATATCATTTACCAATAATAACTCAGGAGAAAAGCATGAAGAACGATTTAAAATTCGCAGCCGAAAGAATAAGGAAACTGTAACAAAACAATAACCACTTTTATCCTTTAATGTTGTGGCGTGCAACCCGATCCAAATTATATATATAAACTATTGTGGCGTGCAACCCGATCCAAATATAATATTGTTGGCGTCGTGCAACCCGTTCCAAATATAGTATGGTTGCGGCGTGCAACCCGATCCAAATATATTATTGGTGCGCGCGTGCAACTCGATCCAAATATAGTATTGTTGCGGCGTGCAACCCGATCCAAATATATTGTTCGACACCAATCACAAAAGAGTCCCGGCAAGAGAACAATAAGGAAACAACAATATCCCGGCAAGGGAATCGACAGTAATAAGTAAATACATCCCGGCAAGGGAATCAGCTATAATCAAACTTGTTTTAATATTTAACTTCACAACAGAAACCTCGTCTAGAACCAATATTCAACCATAAGCAATTTTTACGAGATTAATCATCACTCTTGTCCAACACAGAGAATCAACAACTTAAGCATTTGTAGTACTTGTTAAGAACACAACGATTTCAATTTAAGACTCACGGGCATGCTTGACATCAATGTATAGATACTCGTCACCATGCCTATACGTCGTACTCAACAAATAGCACATAGCAAATAGGACTCGACTCCTAATCTCTCAAGCTAAGGTTAGACCAAACACATACCTCAAACTTCCACAGCCAACTCAAGCCTCAAACACCGCTTTTCCTTTAGAATTCGCCTCCAAATGACTCGTATCTAGTCCAAATTGATTTCACAACATTAATAAATGCTAAAGAATTCATACCCAATGCTTAATTATAGGTTTTCTATCATTTTTCCCCAAAAGTCAAAAATTGACCCCGGGCCTACTTGGTCAAAACTCGAGGTTCAGACCAATACCCGATCGGCCATTCTTCCACGAGCCCAAATATGCAATTAGTTTCGAAATCCGACCCCAAAACGAGGTCTATATCCCCAGTTAATCAAAAGCCCTAACTCTACCCAAATTCCTAATTTCTACCATAAAAACCCTAGATTTTAAGATGAAAATTGATGAAATGCAATGGGAAATCGAAAGAGAAAGGATTAGAATCATATACCAATGTTTTGGGGAAGATATTATTCTTTGAAAATCGCCTCAATGCTCCCAAAATTCGAAAATATGAAGTAAATGGGTTCTGCCCATTTTTGCTTCTGCTTTAAAATCACTAGGCAGGCCTTCATCGCGTTCGCGATGGGCCTGTCGCGTTCGCGAAGGGTCAGGCCAATTAGCCTTCGCGTTCGCGTATAGTGGCTCGCGTTCGCGGATCTTTTACTCCTCGAGCCTTCGCGTTCGCAGGCCAGTGGTCGCGTTCGCGTAGAACAAAATCCCCTTCCCCCTGCCCAGGCCCAAAGACCTTCGCGTTCGCGATAGCAGCTCCGCTTTCGCGAAGGGTAGCACCCCCCAAAGCTTCGCGTTCATGACCTGTTTCTCGCGTACGCAGAGAAGGAAAATCCCTTCAGCCTGACTTACCCTCCGCGTTCGCGAGAGTCCTTCCGCGAACGCGAAGAACAAAGTTCCAGAACACCAGGAACTGAAAACCTGCAACTTTTTTCTAAGTTTAAAACCTTCCGAAACCTATCCGAAACTCACCCGAGCCCTCGGGGCTCCAAACCAAACATGCATACTAACTCAAAAACATCATATGAACTTATCCGTACGATCAAATCGCCAAAATAACATCTTTAACAACGAATTTAGCATAGAAATCTAAGAAAAACCTCAAAACTTTCAAAGTATCAATTTTTACAACTACGGGTCCGAATCACATCAAACGACTTCCAATTCTTACCAAATTTCACAGGCTCGATTTAAACCACATATAAGACATGCCTCGAGCTCCGGAACCAAAATACGGGCCCGATACCATCAACTTCCAAACATTTTTTCATTTCTAAAAACTCACATTTTTTCCAGAAAACAATTTATCTTTAAAAATTCATTTCTCGGGATTGGGACCTCGGAATTTGATTCCGGGCATACGCCTGTAAGCACGTGATTTTTGCCCTACATGAAAATAACTCCTAAAAAAATAGATCAAAAATAATTTTAGTTGATTTTTAGGAATTTTTCTTTATTTAGTTGCATTTCATGCATTTTAATATTTTAAAAAAAATCATAGAAAAATCATGAAAAATGTCAAAAATACCATTGCATTTAGGTTTTGCTTTTACATTTTTAGAATTAATTAATTAATTATTTGCTTTATTAAAAATAAAAATCACAAAAATAGCCCATTTCTATATTTTTCCCTAATTTATTTTTAAGTTATTGATTTTTCTCTTTTAATATAGGATTAAGTGGTTTTTATAATTTTTATAATTAGATAATTAGTTTAATTTCACATTTTGAATAATTTTGGATTTTTAATTTGTAGGATTTTAATTAAAAGAAAAAGTAAAAATTAGAAAATAAAAGAAAGAATTGGAAAAGAAAGGTTTGTCTCGTGAAATTTGGCCAAAATTAATGCTGAGCCCATAGCTTATACCCAAATCTGCCCAAACCCAATAACTCACTCAAGGCCCAATCTCCCTACCCAAATTTCCATTACCTTTGCCCTGATCCCTCACACAAAAGGGGAGCTAAGGCACAAAAAGAGATCAGGTGAAAGACCCCTCCTAAAAAAGAAAACGGCACATATCCCTCCTAAGGTCTTCGATTCCTTTCTCCTTCTAAACACAGAGAAGACCCAAAACGGAAAAAGCTCCCTGCTTCGATCTTCTTCTTCAAGCTCAACATCAGATGATTAGGCCCTTAGAAAAACAGAGGAAAACGACACTAGCTTCTTCTTCTGAAGACCACTGTCACACACGCATGCGACCTCTCTGATCTCGCTCACACAATTTACACATTAAAAGCATAAA